CCTGAGTTCCTGCTGTACTCGTTTCTTGTTCCCTAAACTTGCTAGGCATGCTGACCTCAGAACCTCAGCAGGTGCTGCTCCCCCTGCTGGAATGTTCTCTCTTGTAGCCATCACAGGGCTCCCTTCCTCTTTACCTGCAGGCTTTGCTAAGGTGCTGTCCAAACTCCCGACTCCCTCCCTATGCCCTCTCTGTTTTTTACCCTCTCTGACATCTACCTCACCTGACATATTATATGGCTGTTTATTTTCTATTTTCTCTGCTAGAATGAGCTCCAGGGTGGCAGGAATCTAGCATGTCTTATTTTCTGCTTCCTTCCCAACACCTGGAAAATGCTGATTAGGTCATAGGTCTGTAACAAATATTTGTCGAACAAGCAAATCAATGACTACCTACATGCAAGAGTGGAACTGTTTAACAGTGGTTGTCAGTGCCCAGCCTAGCCAGGTCTGTACTGAGGCCTCATTTAAGCCTCCATCAGTTAACTATAGTCTCTATTTGCTTTATGAAGACATCTTGTCTCTTCAATTATTTTGTGAATTAGAGATCAATTTTTTTTTTTGGTACCGGGGATCGAACTGAGGACCTTGTGCTTGCAAGGCAGACGTGGTGCTCCTGAGCTACATCCCCAGCCCTAGAGATCCAATTTTATTCTTCTTAACCATTTAACACTTGAAATGATACTGGGCTCTATTAGTCATTGCATATTTGTGTGTTGATCCACACCTTGCTCTGGTAACTGCTCACTTACTGGCTGACTGATCAGTGACAGCAATGGTAGGGTCTCACTGACCTGAAGGAGAGTGGATTTGTCTGTTGGACGCTGCATTTGGTCCTTTCTGTGAAATTCAGGGTCCTGTGTGCAGAGTGTGATGCCTCTGACTGGTGTCCGAATATCCTCACCTCCTCCTTTCCTATCCTAACCTAGAGTTTCATGAACCTACTCTTGTCATTAGGAGCAGCTATAAAATAGGAGACTGATATCATTATATATAAACCAAGTATCTCTTTATGCACTATTTATAAAGTAATAGTGGAGAAACTTGGTTTTCCCCTTTTTATTGTTTTTATTTACAGCTTTTTCAGATAGCTGTAAAGCTGCTGGCCATAAAACAGACAGTAAAATAGTAAAATAAGAAAAAAGGAATCAGAAAGTCAAACGAAGGAAAAAGGAAAATTTCAAATTTTCCACCCACAAAGGCCAACACTACTGTCATTATTATAGTTCAAATCTTGGCTCAGAGCTTCCCGGAAACAGTTCTCCAAAGAAAACACCACGCTATATGGTCCCTGTGATTGGCAAGTAAGAGGACTGTCATTCTTTTTGTGGGGAAAGTGAGTTTCTTAGAATTGAGTTTTAAAAAGAGCCTCTCATGGGGGACTTCATAAAAGGTGGCTACCTCACGATGAAATGGACAAGGTTCTCAGCAGCCTTTTGCCAATCAAAGAAGTAGTGAATTTCGTGTTTGCTTCTTGTAGTTTTAACAGATCCAGGATGTGAAGAAAGTTAGCACTGACTGAGGATGTGACTAACACGGAATCCAGGGAGGACAATTCTGAAGCGCTGAGCCTCCTAACACCTCTCCACGCCGTTCTCAAGCCTTAGCTCCAGCCAGAATCTAGGCCCTTTGATAAGTGAAGGGATTTCTGTCTCCTCCCAGACATCAGTTGTCTCCTGTCTGCCTTCCTTTCCATCCTCCCGGCTTCTGCTAACAGGACTGAGCTGATGGCAGTGGCCCTCCCAGCTCTCCTCTGACCCTCGGGGGAGAGGACTCCCTCACCACTGACACTGCACAGCACTTGACCGGCCTGGGCTGTCACCCCCTCAACCCCGTGACAGCGGACATGGGTCTGAGAGGAGGCACATGACTCAACAGTGCTGTCTTTTCTTGGGATTTTGGACCAGGCAGGGAGAAGGGAGGTAGGGAAGAGGGACTTTGGGGGATCTGCTAAAGAAAACTGCCCAAAGGTGGGGTTTTTCCTTGTGTGGGGAGCACAGAGGTGAAGTGGGGGTGGGACAAGCTTGGAAGATTCCCTGCAGGGTCAGTGTTCAGAGTCCCTGGGAGCCAAGTCAACCCCTGGAGACAGCATGGTCTGCACACCCACTCACCTCCGGGATGCGTATGACCCAAGGAGCAGGGCCTGGGGCCCTGAAGTCACCTGAAGTCATCTGAAGTTCTGGCCCCTGAGTTGGTCCAACAGTTAATGACACCTCTGAGCTAGAGTTCTTAGGAAGGTGCTCAGGATATCACGGGCAGATAGTCAGCCACTTAACATGCTTTCTCAAAGGAACGTGTTCTTACTTGCTCCCTAGGTCACCCCTGGGCAGATGTGCCAATGGCACTGTATGGATGGCCCACTGGTCTGAAGGAATCACAACAAGCTATTGTCTGGGTTTTTGGAGGAGAACATTCAGGCTGCCTAGGGCTTATGAGCCCCACAAGTACACAGACATACACACACACACCTTCAGGATCTGTCACTGCATCGTTCTGAGCGTGCAGGTTCTTCCTCCCTGCCTCTTGGCAGTCTCAGTTCAGCTGAGCATGAGCCAAGGCTCTGATGTTTGGGAACGGCCTCCAAAATGGCCCCCAGTTCCCCTAGGCCTCCACATGGCTCCCTGCCCCATCCTTGGCTGACACTCCCTTGTCTGCCGTGTGACCACACAGGCAGCTGCCCACACCCCCTTACCCCTGACCTTATCCCCTGTGGCACAAGGTTCTTACACCACAGGCTTGGACTTTCTTCACCCGGCTCAAGGCCCAACCACTCGGGGCCCTGAGGCAAAGCACTCAGCACCCACTTCTGGCTCCCACTGTCTTCTAGCTCTGGCATTCTGTCAAGACAGTCTCTTTTTGGTCTTGGCCAATGCTCAGCCAGCCCTGGAAAGGGCTTCCGCCTTTCTCCCAGCTGCCTGCTAACACTTCTCATCCCCAACAAGGATCAAAGCCTCAGAAACAGAATGAAGCAAAAATCCGCAAGCAGCACGATGCCAACTGATTCATTAGTTCCTAATTGTGACAGTTACTTTCCTCTCCCTCTAGGGTGCAGGAGGAGCCTTGGGAAGGTCCAGATTGTTGAACATGTCCCGGAGCACCACAGCTAGGTCTTCTGTTGGCCGCCAGCCAGGTCAGGCCCAGGGGGGCTTCTGGGCACAAGTTGTACCTAGTGACCTGTGCCCCCAGCATGACCCATGGGTCCCAAACTGGAAGTGAAAGAGCCAGGGTGACAAACGAAATAAATTCGGCAGGAGCTCCCAACTATGCTGAGCCTTCAGTGGCTTCTCTCCTCTTCCTCTTTGCTTTCCATAGAGTCCAAGTTAGGAGAAAGCTTCCTTTTCTCTGAGCCGAGTTTGTTTTCTCTGAGCTAAATTCTTACCATTGGAGAAGGGTTGAGGCCAAAGCTCATGCTGCCATGAAACCCCCTGAAGGCATCAGCTGAGACCCCACCACGGCCACCCTGGAGACAGGGCCTCTCAGCCCACAGCTAGGGACCAGCAGGATGCATGGAATGGGCAGCACAATAGCAGCAAGAGTTGGAAAGGGAAAAGGAGCAGTTTCTCCACAGTCCTAGTTTTCCTCTTGTTAGACAGCTTTGGACAACCCCCTCCATTCTCCTCCGGCAGCCTAATTCAGAGTCACTTCGCACAGATACCTTTCTCCTTACTTCCAGTCCATCACTGTGAAAACTCCACCCATGGATTAGCTAACACCAGGGTTTTCTGAACACGAGGAGCCAAAGTGGAGTTTGATTACACATGCAGAGATCACTGATCACCTCCACTCCCCTTTCCCACACCTTGAACCACTCTGGGGCTTTATAGCCCATCAATACCCAAAATCCCTTCCTCAGGGAGGCAGACTTGAGGCTTAGGTGTTCCCTTCCACGCTTAGCTGCCTTGTAAATAAACTTTTTTTTTTTTAACATAATGAATCTCAGCAGGTATTGGCATGCTAGGCATTGGAAGTTCCAGTTCTGATGGCTCTGAAGAATCATATTTCACTCCTAACCTGTCAAATTTCTCACTGATCCTATAGATATCACTGTATCCCAGCATAGCAATTAAACATGAAGTGTCAGATATCAAAGTCTCAGTTGCTGATTTATGTGTCATTGCTGATGTGCAAATGAACTCTTCCAACACCCATTGTCTCTGTGATCCGTGACCTGGGCAGCTAAGCTAGCAAAATGGGCCTGGCTCGTGACCTGGGCAGCTAAGCTAGCAAAATGGGCCTGGCTCGGTAACCACATTAACTTTCCATATGCGATCAGTTTGATCTCTCAGAAGCTGCCAAAGTACTGCCATCGCTGTCATCATCATGATTCCACTTTCCACGGTTCTGATCTTTAGAATCTGCTTTATTTTGGTAAATTAAAAACTGAGGGGCCAGGGATTTAGCTCAGTGGTTCCACCGCCTGCCTCGCAAGCTCAAGGACCAGAGTTCGATCCCCGGTACCAAAAAAAAAAAAAAGAAAGAAAGAAAAAACAAAACAAAACTGGGGCTTTTCATTGAAAACCGGCTACTGTCATTCAAGAGAAGAAATAATGCCACCAAAAAACATTCACAACTCAGCTGACACTGGCGGCGCACTGCTCGCCACTCACCCACCCAAAGCTCCCAGACTCGCCGCTGACCGACCTCCCCTACCTGTCCCCACCTCAGTGCCAGCGCTGTCTGCTGCCCTCGGCCCCTTCCTGACGTCCCGCAAACGCGAATCCCCTTGCTAGCTGCTTCCTCCCCTTCCCAGCTCCTCTCCCCGGCCAGGGACCAGCCGGTGCGGGCTCCTTGTGCCGACCCTGTCCGGGATATAAGAAGGGGACATCTAAGGGCTGTGAGCTGGTTTTCTGCCCTCGAATCAAGCCACAGCTTTCAGAGTCCTGCCGCAGCGCACAGCCACGCACACGCCCCGGACGCTCCTCAGTCCAGGCGCAAACCTCGCTGTTCCGCAGCTCAGCTCCAAAGGCGCCGACCACTACTCGCGCATGCGCGTTTCACCCTTTGGCAACTTGTTTCTCCTGAACTCGGGCGGCTCCTGCGAGGCAGCTCGACGTCTGTGCCGGGCAAAGCGCTGGGTGGGGCTCTGGGGCAGCTACAGGCCCCGGTTATCTTCGGCGTTGCAGCAGCCCAGCCTGGCCTTGCCCAAGGATCTTTTGTGAAAGAGGCTGTGACAGAAAGGAGTGGCAGGGGGCGGCGGCTGCACCCGCAGCCCAAGCGCCACTGTACTGCGCGCTCTTACTGCGCCCGGATCCAAGCGGGGACCTGGCCACGATGAGGAGAGGCTTCCAGGCGGCAGCGGGGCTCCTCCACCCCCGAGCGCTCCCCAGGGCCCCTCGAACCCTGCCTGGACTCAACTCCGCCTCTGCGTTTGGATCTTCCACGGACGCCCTGGTGAGTGAGTTCCCAGCCCAGCTAGACGGGCAGGCTTCTCCCCAAGCCTCGGCTCGGAGGAACACCCCAGATCGCCCCTCCAGCTCGTGGCCAGAGCCCCGAGGCGTGACTGGAGGCATCAGCTCTCACACTCAAGCTGGGCACCCTTAACCGTCTTCCTGAGCTCCCGGTCTGAGCAGTGGGGCTCAGCAGTTCTCAGCCTCAAAGAACCACCCACAGATGCTTACACTGCGCGGTGCGCGCTGCCTCTGAGCAGCGCGGCTATCACTGTTCGTCCCTGCCCCCTCTGTCTTCTCTGGCTTCTCAGCGTCCCTTGCTCAGTCGCTCACAGAGGGCTTCAGATCATCTGCAAAGATGGGCCCTTTCCCTCACCTTAACTCTCCAGTAGCTGAGCCTAAAAAGCCCCAAAACCAAGGGGGAAAGCCACCTGGAGGTCCCACAGCCCACGCAGCAGTCCCCAGCCCCCAGGACATCGGCTGGTCCCCCTGATTTCTCCTTGCCAGGTCTCCAGATTCTGTCCAGAGAAGACAGACTTGAAGGATTATGCCCTTCCCAATGCCAGCTGGTGTCCAGACATGCTGAGCCTGTACCAGGAGTTTCTGGAGAAGTCCAACTCAGGCAGCTGGATCAAACTGCCCTCCTTCAAGTCCAACAGAGACCACATCCAAGGGCTGAAGCTCCCGTCTGGCTTGGTGGCTGCCTCGGGTAAGCCCGGGCCGAGGGGGGCCATAGGAACGCACGCACCCCAGCCCACACTGATGGGAGCCTGCCTGGGCCCCTCAGCCAGGCCCCTTTCCCTGTGTTTGAAGATCCTTGGGAAGGAAATTCACAAGCCCCCTTCTAGTTCTCAGCCCAGAAGCTCTTCCTGCTGTCTCCCTCCACCCTCTGCTGTCACTGGGGAAGTGGCTGGGAAGGATCTTACTTTACTGGCTCCCTTCCTCCCATCTGACCAGGGCACGCCCTAGAGGGCACCTTTGCTGCCAGCTGAGTGCCGCTCCGCTGGAGAACTGCTAGCTCAGTGCCGCACCCTGCCCGCTTCTCACTGGCAGTTCTCCCCCAACAGCCAAGCCTTCCCCTAAGCCCTCCTCCCTAACCCCAGCCAAACCCTCAGATCCCCACCCACCCAGGATCGCAGACCTCAGCCCAGAGTGCCACTCTGCATCACCCCTGGATCTGATTGGCACCTTGTTACGTGTGTCTGTCTGTCTGTCTGTCTGTCTCATTTTTACACATGATTCCTGCCCAGGGAGAAATGGGGGGTTGAGGTGGCAGGAGACTCTTAGGTTATGCCACAAAGCAGGGGCATTGAAATAATTTCTTTTAAGAGTTTGATATTTTCAAAAAAAGAAATAGTTGTAATTGACTTGGAACTCCCGTGGACTTTTCTGCCTTATTTTGCTATTTTGTACTCTTCCAATGCAGGTGGCTACACAAGTGATCACGTTGTTAATTTTCAAAGCTTAGCTTGTTTTAAGTGTTGATCTGGCTCTGCTCCTGACTCCACCCGGAGCTAGGGAACTTCGAGAGCGTTTGTCCCCCAGACATGGGCTCTCGCTGAAGGCAGGCGCTGTGCATCTGCTCCCAGCTGGAGGGCTCCCTGGGTCTCTCTGGCCTGGTAGCAGAGGCAGGGCTCAGCCCCTGGTGCTGCATCCCGGCAACCTCACACCCTCCTCCTCCAGCTGTGACCCTGCCTGTCTCTCCCCAGACAAAGGCGACTGGCGCATCTTCACCAGGTGCATCCAGGTGGCGGGACAAGGCTATGAGTACGTCATCTTCTTCCACCCAGCCAAGAAGAAGTCTGTCTGTCTTTTCCAACCAGGCCCCTACCTGGAGGGGGCTCCAGGGTAAGGCTGCAGGCAGGGCCGGAAGGGGCTCCAGCTTGGCTCAGAGGGATGGGCAGGCACCCATGAGGCCCCGGGCTGCACCTCTCCTGGGAGCCAGTGAGGGGCTGGGCTCCAGCTTCACAGGGCTGGGGCTGGAAGGACACACTGGGTTATCTACCTGGCCCAATCCCACCAGCAGTTAGAGAGCTCCCTTATCTAGGTCTCAGAATTTTCCAGCAGCAAAGGACCTTGAGAAGGATGTGATGCATTTGGAAGAGGGCAAGATCTAGAATCACGAGCCCGACTTGCAGTCCTGGTTCACTGTTGCAATCAGTATGACATCTAGTTTCCAGTCTTACTTGAAACGTCGGCCAGTAATATCTGCCTGCCAGGGTGACTGACAGACACGACACTGGGGACCCACTCAGGTGTCCTCACGAGCCATAGAGCACAATAGAGCTATCGAGCACCGCCTCTCCAAACCCCAGGTTCTACTCATGGAGAAGCTGAAATGCACAGAGGTAAAGGAACTTGCCCAAGTCACACCCAGGACTCTAGAAATTGGACTCGAGTGCAGCGCTCTCTCTGCTGCCTCACAGTTGGAATAGACCTAAGGAGAGACCTGTGCTGGGCATATACCAGGCTGGCCCTGGGCCTCTTTTCTCTGCCCCACCAAGGTCATGGTTGTCTGCTTTCTCTCCTGGGCCTGTTTCCTTCCAGTCACAAAAGGTAGTTGGTGGCACAGGAGTTCCTAGAGGACCAGGTTCAGGGTCCTGAGGCCTGAGAGTGGCTGGATTGGGGTTAAGCAGAATTGAGAGTAGTAAATAGATGTCGTCGTCTGCACAGACTGCAGCCCCCTGTCCCTGTGGCCATCTCAAAGGTGTCCTCCATGCGGACACTGTCTGGGAGAATAGCTCTCACCCCACCCTGGGCCATGGGTCCCCTCCCTTCTGAAGAAGAAAACCCCAAGGAGCCAGGACGGGGGCTGATTCGTGGCTGAATGTTAGGGGCTTGTGTAGGTGACGACAAAGAGGCAATAGAGCCTATCCCGACCCAAGCCAGGCAGTGGACTGAGGAGAAGCCAGCAAAAAACTAAAGTCACCAGGCCCTTGGGCACCAGAAGTGGGAGGGAGTTACCGGTTGACTAGCAGCTCTGCTGAACCTGTACTTGCCAATGGGTCCCTCTCCTCAGCAGTGAGGGCAAGGAGGGAAGAACATGCCTGGAGTTCTTTGACACCACCACCTTTTCCTACTTTCAGTCAATTTGGGAAGTGAGGAAGACTGTCCATTTTTATTCACAATTCACAATTCATTGTAGAAAAACTAAGTCAGGTGTGGTGATGCACGCCTGTAATCCCCGCACTCCGGGAGGCTGAGGCAGGAGAATCACAAGTTTAAAGCCAGCCTGGACAATTTAACAACTTAGTAAGATCCTTTTTATAAGTTTGGGGTTTTGAGGGGTTTTTTGTTTGTTTGAGACAGGGTCTCACTTTGTAGTTCAGGCTGACCTTGAACTCACTATGTAGCCCAGGATGGCCTGGAACTCACAGGAATCCTCCTGCCTCAGCCTCCCGAGTGCTGGGATCACAGGCATGCGCCACCACGCCCAGTCTAGTAAGATCCTTTTTAAAAGGGCTTTGGATGTAGTTTAGTGTAAAGGTCCTGCAAAAGAAGAAGGAGGAGGAGGAGAGGAAGCGGGAGGAAGAGGCAGAAGAGGAGGAGGAAGAGATAAAGAAAAAGAACTGAAGGGCCGGGGATTTAGCTCAGTGGATTCGCCGCCTGCTGCGCAAGCGCAAGGACCTGAGTTCGATCCCCGGTACCAAAAAAAAAAAGAAAAAGAACTAAAGCTCAGACTTAGGAACTTGCTCAGAATCAAACAGGTGGAGCAAGGACTCCAACAAGGTAGTGAATGCCATGGTCCTCAGCAGTGTCCACAAAGGAAAGGGACACAGGGCTAGTTGGTGGCAGGAACAAGAGAATAGCCCACAGCAGGGTCCGTGGAGAGTTACAGTTGCACTTTGAAAAATCAGGAGCTCGAGTCGGACACGGTGGTACACAACTGTAATCCCAGCCTCTGAGAGGCTGAGGCGGAAGGGCTGTGTGCTTGAGACCAGCTTAGGCTCTTCAGCAAGTTCAGGAACTCAGATCTGTTTTGTGTCATTTGCGTTCTCAAGTTGGGTGCCCCTCTGTTTTCCCCAACTTAAACAACAATGAAGTGGCTTTGGCACGGAGGCAGCATGTGTGGAATGAGAATGAAGGTTTCACAGACTTTAAGGAAGCGCATGTCTGCGGCACGCTGCTGAGGCAGGCCCTTGCCTTTCCACGGGCAGCACCGGTCAGAGGTGGGTTTTGCTGGCACTTTATATGCTGTGAGTTACATTTCACATCTGCCTGTCTTGAAAATGTGGGCCCACCGCTGGCTGTAGTGACTGGTAAGCTGAGAGGTGGCCCAAGATAGTCCACACTTCCTTTTAAAGATGAAGTCAAAGAAGTTCAGGGGTTTGCCCATTCTCCTCATCCATCCACACTTCCAAATTACAGCAATTGTTGCAAGCAATTAGGTGATAAATCAGGAAAATGTTTTCCATTAGCTCTATGAGAAAAAATGTTTTTCCTGGAGAAATAAAATACTTGTGTCCGTGGTTACTAACACGTGCTGAAGCAGAACAGAAGAAAAGCTCAGTAATTTTGACTGATTTGGTCACCTGGGATGCAGCTCTGTCCTTTCCTGCTTGGCTGCCTGAGGCTCTGGGGAGGGGAGGAGCATGGGGTTGCCGCTAGACTTGCTCTCCGTCCTCAGGTTCGCCCACGGAGGGTCTCTGGCCGCCATGATGGATGAGACCTTTTCTAAAACTGCCTACCTGGCTGGGGAGGGGCTGCTCACACTGAGCCTCAACATCAGGTTCAAAAAGTAAGTATGGATCCTTGGGGCAGGGGCCAAAGTCAGGGCCTTTGCCTCACTGCGGTGGCTCTCCTTGGTATCTGGGGTGTGGAAGCCCCACCTGCCCTCTCCTCCCCAGCCCGGTCCCGGGCGCTCTATTGTCCCTGTGCAGAAGAATCTTAGCTCCCCCACTTTGGGACCAACAAACAGCTCCTGAGATCAGGCCACAGAGTGGTCCTCCAGGCAGGTGGGGTGCAAGGAGGGTCGCAGAGGGCTGAGGAGATGGGAGATGACCTATGGCTGCTCCCCCAGCCTGATCCCTGTGGGCTCTCTGGCCGTCCTGAACGTCCAAGTGGAGAAGATTGAGGACCAGAAGCTCTACATGTCCTGCATCACCCAGAGCAGAGACCAGCAGACAGTCTTTGCCAAGTCCTCAGGTACAGACGGCCTCAGCCTCAGCCCCGGCCCGACCCACCCTAGCACAGACACATGGAGGGGAAGAAGAATGCTAAGGGTCCAGTCCCACGTGGGGGCCCAGCTTCTTGTTTTGTTTTATTTTACTTTACTTTATTTTATTTTATTTTATTTTTGGTACCAGGAATCGAATTCAGGGCCTCTTGCTTGCTAGGCAGGCGCTGCACCGCTGAGCTACATCTCCGGCCCTGTTTTGTTTTATTTTGTTTTGCTGACACAGAGTCCCACTATGTAGTTCAGGCTGGCCTCAAACTCGCAGCGATCCCCCTGCCTCAGCCTCCCAAGTGCTAGGACTACAGGCGTGCACCACCATGCCCAGCTTGGGGCCCTAGCTTTTTAAGGGATGGGATTTTGCACATGTTAGAGACATGGACAAAGGGAAGTAGGATGTTTTGTTACGTAGGAGTTGCACAGCCTGTACTTCAGGACAGTTCCAGGTAATATTCTGAGTAATTTGGAGCAAAATGTTCACAGCACCTCAGCAAGCTCCTGCCTACGTGGCCTCAGCTCGGCTCTCAACACTCTGCCCATCCTTCTCTTGCAGGTGTCTTCCTTCAGCTGCAGCTGGAAGAAGAGTCACCTCCGTAGTCATCACTATGTCTTCGGCAGAGACAACCCTGATCCTCCTGTCTGCCTGGAACCCACCACAAACAGGAGGGGTCCCCAGGAAGCAGGTGCAGAGGCTGTTGAGAGCCCTCTCTCTGAGTAAATAAACTTCACTGCCCCCTGCTCAGCCTTCTGTAGTTGCAAGCCAAACTCCTTCCTGGGCCTCCCACATACCCACCTGCCCATTCCACACCAACAGCAAAGATTTACTGAGCCCCTGCCAGGCTCTGGGTGAGGCATCCGGCCCACAGCAATGAAGGGGCACAACTGGAGGCCCCAGAGCACCCCAGCAAAGCCCTCCCTCCCGCCCCGGCTCGCATCAGCGCAGGGTAGGCCCAAAGGGAAGTGGGTCCATTTTACTCTTTGAACACAGTCAGAAAAGGCTTTCTAGAGGAAGCTGTGCCTGAGCTTGGTCTCAAAAGTTCAGTGGTGCTCACCAGGCAGAGGGAGAACTGGGAGAAAAAAGGCACAGCGCCCTGAGAGAGCACCAGGCCTTGGAGAACAGCAAGGCCTGGAGCAGGACAGGCATCTAAGGAAAGAGAAGGTGGGCAGTGTAGGAGCAGCCCCTGGCAGGTTCAGAGTTCCCGCCATAGGGCTTGGGATTTGTGTTGTAGGTAACAGGGGCCTAGGAAGCTTCATAAAGTTCTGTCTTTTACAGTGGCGAAAAGACTAAGGTGGGAGCACAGGGGAGAAGACCCCTGCGGGGCTCTGTACTGGAGACGGTAAGAGCTGCCTGGGTCGCAGCATGGAGATTAGGGATGAGAAATGCTACCGAATAAAGACGTGCAGGGCTTTCCCCACTAGCTGTATGTCTTGGATTGGTGCAGGAGAGCTGTGTAGGGTGACTCCGAGCTCCTGCCCTGGAGCCCTGGATTGGGAGGCTTCTGGCTTGAGGGCTTTCAGGTGGTAGCATTGGGAGAACAAAAGGAGCAGGTGTGAAGTAGAGGTGGAGCAGGAGCTCAGGTTTACGGGTGCTGAGCTTGAAGTGCCCACAGGCTCCCATCACAGAGCACACAGCGGCAGAACCCTGGCCTCTGTGACTAGGTGCTCAGGAGGGAAGAGCTATTGATTCAGTTTGTGAATCAGTGTAAAAACTGACATGGCACCTCTGAGAGTGAAAGAGAAGAGGAAGCAAGGGACTGACAGTGAGGGGAGGACAGAGAGGAGGAAGGGACTCGAAGATAGAGCCTTAGGCCTCACTGAGGTTTCAAGTTGGGGCAGAAGATCAAGGACCCAGTAAGGGGGCCTGAGAACAGAACCGGAGTGACTGTCCCTAGAGGATGAGCGAGGGCTTCGTGTTGAAGGCAGAAGAGAGAGCAAGGAAGATGACAGCTAAAAAAGAGGACTTTGGATTGGGCAGAGGAAGGAGTTCCCATTTGCCAGAGCAAGTTAGGGAGAGGGAGTAAAATCCAAAAAATAATGAATGAAGAAATGAATGGGGAATGAGGAAAAGTAGGGATCTCCAGTGCCAACAACTTGAGCTAGAGGAAGGGGGAGCCAGCCAGCAAAACCCAGGCACAAGGTGGGCAAGCCCAGACGCTGTGAGGACAGTGGTAGGAGAGGAAAGACAGCAGCGCAGTGGTTTGCCCGGAGAGAGAACAACGGAGTCGGGAGACAATGGCCTCCTCAGGACCTGGGAGGACGGGGGTGGGAAGCTGAGCAGCTGCCACCGGGAGGGCTGCAGGAGAAGAGGGGTCCTGTCCTGTGACAGCCAGAATCGCATGAGGCCAGTAGATGGAGAGGATGTCCAGGAAGAGATCAAGGTCAGAAAAGTTTTACTCCAGAATGAGAGCTTCAAGTCCCATATCATAAAGGATTTTATTATCAGGTTTGGCAAAGCCAAATGTTGAAACACATAAGCCTTTACCTCTCCACAGCTTAAGACATATCTTCAGTAGAATGTGTTTCTCACTCACGTAAAGTCAAGTTGGTGGTGCCTAGGAGCCAATCAGGAACTTGACTGACAAAAGCTCTGCCATCTCCACTCATGACTTCCAAAGTTGGGTATTGGCATCTAGCTGTTGGATAAAACAGGAGTGAATCCACAGGTCATGGGTGGACACGGATCTGACATAGTGTGGTGGCACGATTTATATCTAGATGTCCCCCCAAAACCTCAGGCTGTCCTAGCTGGGGCTTTGGGGAGGTGAATGGAGCACGGCAGTGCTATGGTTGGCTTGCTGTGAGGAGGTGGGGTCTGGAAGAGGTGGGTCACTGTGGGCGTGACCTGGAAGGGTGCATCTCCTGTCCGGGCTCCTCCTCTGACTGCTCCCTGTCAGCCATGCCATGAACACCTCTCCTCCTCCATATACCTCCGCCATGTTGTTTCTTCTTTGGAGCCAGCCGACCCTCTGAAACATGAGCCAACATAAACCTCTCCTCCTTTAAGTTGTGGGTGTCAGGTATTTTGCTCCAGCACCAAAGAAAGTGACTAAGACAGAGATTATTACTATTTATATCTCGGTTTCCCCCAAAGCCCTATGTGCTCATAGGTGGGACTTTGGGGAGGTGACTGGATCATGGGTTTGTGAGCTAAAGGTGTCCTGCAAGCCATAGCCAGAAATCTTGTGACAACCAGTTGTCCTCTCCCCCACAGACTCACAAAACTCTCCTCCTTTGAGCTTTCACCACTGTCCTCGATAATGTTACACCCAGAGTCTAAATCATTGTATCCTAAAAAAACCTGCCCTTTATTCATGGTCAGGGAGAAGCTAATCTTCATTCAAACACTCCCAGAAGGAGAAGGGAAATGTAGTTCATCCTTCCTATACAATTAAAAAAGAAAGAAAGAAAGACAAACAAAACAGTTGTGTTTGAGTTTCCGTGTTACAATAGGTTGAATGCACCCTGGCACTTCTCTGCAGGGGCCCGTTTGTAACAGAAATCAGCTCAGCATGGAAATCTGCAGCGGGCGGGGGCCTCTCAGGCCAGGAGGGTCAGTCTTGCCTGGACCGGACAAGCAGGGTTTGGAAGGGAAATATGCCCATAAGCTGCTGGGACACTTATCTAGCATCCGGGCCTCTGACAGATGCCTTTCCTCTCCTACGAGGCCAAGTATTTCAGCTGTCTGGGTGGAACAAAGGGAGAAGCTACTGCCACACTTACATCCTCATTTCCGTGTGTGGCGTCTTGATCTGGAGCCCCACTTCTGCAGAGGTAGATGGGGTGGAATCTGGTAGGCCATGAAGGCAAGTGTGGGCTCTTGTTCTGCTGGAAGATGCCTGAGTCAAGTACCAAGAGTACCAAGGATCAAAGGATGTGGCAAATGTTTAAACTGGAAAAAAAAACCTTATTACAGTAAAAGATGCATTGCCAAGAATGATGGTATAAGTGTGTCTGAAATGAGGAGAAATTTGAGTATTTAGAGGGGGTTGATGGTAATGTATCTTTTACTGTAATACATTTTTTTCTTTTGTACCCAGGAATCAAACTCGAGTCTTTGCACTTGCACAGCAGGCAGCAAAACCACTGAGCTAAATCCCTGGCCCTTGTAATACATTTTTCAATTCAAACTTTCACTGTGTTTTTGAGTATGGCATGGTGATGCACACTTGTAATCCCACCATTCAGGAGGCTGAGGGAAGAGGATTGATGCAAGTTCAAGGCCAGTCTGGCTGCATAGTGAGTTCAAGGCTAGACTTAACTACAAACCCTGTCTCAAAAAATATATAAATAAACAAACACTGTATTTTATGATCATCTCTCATTGATCAAATGTTTACAGCAATTTCTGTCCTAAAAATGTTATAGTGTGTCCTTACCCCCTTATTCACCAGATCTGGCACCCTGCAACTTCTAGCTCTTCCCCAAAGTCAAAATGACCGTGAAAGGTAAATGTTTTAATCAATTAGGCATCAAGGCAGCCACAACAGCACAACTAAAGATAGGAACAAGGACTTCCAGGGCTGTTTCAGAAAGTGACTAGAACTGCTGGCGATGTAGCTCAGTGGTAGAACACTTGCCTAGCACACGCAAGGCCCCGGGTTCAATCCCCAGTACCACATTAAGAAAAGAAAAAAGAAAAGAGCCAAGAATGATGGGAGTATGTTTGAAGCGAGGGGTAATATTTTGAGGGGGATTAATGGTAATGTGTCGTTTAGTACAATAAATTTTTAAAAATTTAAACATTCACTGTATGTTTTGGTCACATGTTGTATGATCATTCCAAGATCAACCAGTTGAAGAAGACAGAGATACCAGTAGTTGGTACCAGCTCTTGAATAAGGAACCCCTAAGGCCTTCATAGAGCTAAGACTGCAGGATGAGGCCATTCATTACAGGTCCTGGGTGAGGACCCAGAGCTGTATGACACAATTTATCATCAGTTTATTGTCACCAGGGCTCACAGTGAGCATTGGTTGCCCAGTTATGCTGCCTGAGGCCACCACTCAGGGTCTCAGGACTACGGCTTAGCAAGACCCCAAACCCCAGGGACCCTGTAGCATTTGCCTCCAGCTTGGAAGAAAGATCGAACCCTCCTCTGCCTCTTCTACCTGGCTGGGACCCAGGAAGCACTGTGTAGTGCCCATTCCCCTGAGAGTTCTTCTACATGGGCCCCTGAGAGAACAAGGAAGTCAGGAGCCATGGGTCACCTGGGAAGTTGATTTGGTTTGAATGTTTTGTCCTCTCTGAAGCCCATGCCGAGATACGAGGCCACTGTGGTGATGGTGGGAAGTGGGGCCTTTAATTGGTGATGAGGTCATTAAGAGGGCTGGCTGCCTTTTCCTCAACATGCTCCTGTGACAGCAGGTAGTTACAGAGTAAGGCCACTCCGTCTTCTCAACACCACGTCCTGACACTTTTCTGCCATGTTAGACACACCACAGGGCCCCTACAGATGCCAGGACAATGCCCTTGCATTTCCCAACCCCCAAAACCAGGAGCCAAAATAAACTCTATTCTTTGTAAATTATTCAGCCTTAGGTAATTCTGCTACAGCTACAGAAAATCAGAAAATCGACTGCAAATTTCTCAAGGAATGACAGCAATGGACCGGGGAGACTAAGGAAGAGCATGCTGGGTCCTCACTCAAGAGAGCAGCTCTGCTCAAAGCTGAAAATATCTAGGGCAGAAGGTTTGTTTTGTTTTGTTTTGAGACAGGGTGTAAGTTGCTAAGTTGCTCAGGAT